TTTTTCATTAAATTTTATGTAAAGGCCATCAAATATTAGTTTTCCTTTATTTACTTTTTTTTTGTGAAATTTACAATTTTATATATTTTATTTATTTAATTTAATTGTTGTTTTCTAATTTAATTGCTTATTTTTTTACAATTTTTTAATTTTGATTTCACGCAATTTTGTACAAATTGAAAGTTTTTTAAATTTTCTAAAAAATTTTTACAAACCTTTGTTATTATTATTAAAAATTTTTGCAAATTGATTTTGTTTTGAAAGTTTACATATTCCCCATTTCAATTTTTGTACCTATTTATTACTATTTTTTTAATTTCTTTAAACTTTTTAAATTCTTCTTTTTTTACGTTTTATGTTCACACTTATCAAATTTCCGTAAAAATTTTTTGCGTCTATAAAAAATGTTTAAAAATTGCTTCTGTATCTTTGTTGTCATGTATGTTCATATGTATGCGAACCATAAATGTTTATTATGCAGTGCATTATATAAAATTTTTATATATAAATATAAAAAATAACTATAATAATAATGAGTGCAGTTTCTAGACCGTTAGTCGTTAAGGTTTGTAATTTTAAATATTAAATAAAAATTTAAATTAAACTTAATTCACTATCCGATATTATTTTTTTGTTCTATAGACTATCTCTCCCACTGTGTAGATAAGAACCAGTCCTAAAATTTCAGGCTTTATTTCGGCAGCGACCTAACCAGCGACTATTGCTATTAATTATTTTTTCCGACTGGCTAACTCGAAAGTTTCTTCGAAAGTTTTTTCTGACGCTGAAATGTTTTCTTGAGTATAAATTAACGATCGATGATCTCATGTACAGAGTTATCAGATATTGAAAACTGCCTGTCATAAATAATATTTATTAACTGAGGCAGTTACCGATATTTAGAAATCTTTACTGTCAAATTAAAACARTAAAATAATAATAATATATAGAAAATACATCACTGATTATCAACAAGGTACACTGCGTCCATTATGACGTCATGTTTGTTTCTACTTTTTGATGGACCTGTAAAGTGTTACTTTTATCGTTACAATTTTGACAAATTAACGCCGTCATATATAGTGATATAAATACCAAATAAACTACTCAATTACTTAACCAAGTAATCAATACTAATTGCTAAGTGCCATCAACGGCATAAAAATCCGATTTTTATTACTGTGATTTAAATTCCCATCGCCGATATTGTACGCAAGTGCGTTACTAACTAATAAAAAAGTCACAAAATTAGTGCTTTGATTAAATGTATACTTTACTCGAGTGTTTTTAATTAGAATTTCATGGCAGGATAGGTCATGTTTGATGTTTCTGGGGAAGTAAAGTGGACAACGGTTGTCTAATATTTAAAAGAACATTATGGATTTATGGATATTGGTTGGATGAATATATTTGTTGCTAAATAAACAAGCATGAAGCTATGAGCAATATGCCAACTCTGACAGCAAAAATGTTGAAATTATGGACTTAGAAGCCAATTCAAAAAAATTTTGAAACATTTAAATGATATTTTAGACGCGGAGCTCTCTAAACCACGCGATCCCCGAAAATAGTCAACACTATATTAGATTTAATTATAAATTACATTGAGTCTTTATCAAAATATTTTCGAGCAGTCAGGAGAAGTGATAGTCTATACGAAAAACAAACACCTGTGCCATAAATCTGTTTATAAATTAAGTATATATATATTTTTTAATTCTATTATAAATTAACTACTACTTAATTATCTTTGAAGCTAGATTGAAGTGCTTAATAATGGAATTTTTTCATTAATGCAATCAAAGCCTTTTCATACATTTTTTTTTCAATGTTTTTTGTTCTGCACGCGGCATTATGATTCCCATATATTCTTACACGTTCCACGTTTAGGTACAAAGTTATCGAAATTGAGCATTGTCGAGAACGCGTTGCCGACGTACCACGTACAGGACGGCCATAAATGATGATCAATATGTACGTCAATAAAATAAAGAAATTGGTGCTTGAGAGTTGACAATTAACCTGACATAGTTGGGATATTGGAAGGATCGCTGAAAACCATTTAGAAAGGTCACTAGGAAAGGGAAAGCTCGATTCCAATATTTCAAAAAACACGGGGTTAGCGTCTGTAAAACAATGCTTTTCGACTACCAGGATGTCATGAAACGTATTATTACTGGCAATGAGTCTTGGAGCTAGAGGGTTTGTCCGGAAAGTAAAAGGACTAATTTTCTTCCGCCGCCACTGTACTTCGGAGCGTTCGCGCAACGACTGGATTCGGTACCATTTTCGCGCGAATGGTGCAAACCGAAAATGCAGCGTTCGTTAGAGAAGAAAAACGCGATTATATTCTGTGTAAAACTCGGTAAATCTGCGACAGAGAGGTTTAATATGATCAAACAGGCTTACACAGATATTGCTTTAGCAAGAAGTGGTGGGTTTCGGTGGCACCAAGCCTCTTTTTGGAGGACCGGCAAGAGATCACTAATGAAGACCGCGCTGCGACTTCCACAAACACCGACAATGAAACTCCTGTGCGCAAAGTTTCGAACTCAGACCGTCGGGGAAACTGTTTTCAGTTATTTAAAGCCACTAAACGTGAATCGCTACGTGCATTCAAAGTTTTTCGAAAATTGACTTTAACAATTGTGCCGAGGATTGGAAATAACGTTGACACAAGTGTATTCGGGCCAAGGGGGAAAAAACTAAGTATTTCAAAATTATTAACAAAGTCTTACTATTTTTTAATCAAATAGTAGGTTTATCAGGGGAAAAGCTACTGTTAAAGCTTTTGAAAAAACTGCATTTTACGTGTGAAAGCTACTTAGAGCGCTTTCACGAAAGCTTAGCGAAGCTTTTTTATTTTCATGACTCATAACAGAAACATGAAAGCTTAGCGAAGCTTTTTATTTTCATGACTCATAACAGAAACGTTGTAAAGCTGCTAAAAACCTTTACGAATAAGTAATGTTAGTTCAAGAAATTTAAGTCCGAAGGTTCAGCATTGTTATCGATTGAAAAACCAATATGGGGAGCTCCCTTGTATCGTGTATGAAAGATTCAGCGAAATACTTTTGAATTTTCAAGCTTGTTCTTAGAAGAGTGCTTAGAAGAAGCCGAAAAAAGTAAAAGAAACCAGAACTCAGCGTTTCTATTGTTCCACTTAAAAAAAAGGGTCCAAAAGCTTAATGAGTCTTAGGGTAGCCGAATATTTTTCGCTATTCCCCGTCATTAAAACGCAAGCGTCCATACAAAAATTACACAGATAATTATTCAAGGTCATAATTTCTTACAAACTACATGCAAATTATAAAAGTGCACCTAGAACTACTTACGCTCTGATCTCGCTATTGAAATAAAATATTGACACATGCAAGTGGTATGCCCAAAATTTTCCAGACACAAGAGCGATCACATAGTATGTATATATAAGTATATAACAACTTGAGTACATACATATCTCATACATATAGTATATGCCTAAAGACACGTAAATAAGTTCGTACCTACATACATAAATATATGTATGTATAATAGTTACATATGTATATGTTTTTAACCCAAAATTATCATCAAATGCATTGTTTCGCTCGTAAACAACTCATCCACACATATACATATGTACATACATACACATATTAATGTCTAAATTTGGCTTATGCTGCAGCGCGGCATTACTATAAATACAGCGCTTATCCCTAAGATGCACTTTAGACGGCCGATAAACGGCGGGGCGTACACGTAGTCAAAGAAAATACCAACAACAGCAACAAAAGTGCAGTGAGTGCGACGGAAATTAGTGATTTCATTTATAATAAATAAAAAAAAAATGTGAAAATAAACGAAGAAAACAAAAAAAAAATTAGTTCTAAAAATAAAACTCAAACACAAAAATATTTAATTTATTAACAATAATTGTAAATGTGTAAATAATTAAAAAAATATTTCTAAACACTAAGAACATATAATGATATATTAGTTTGTCAAAAAAGTCTTGCGGTATTGTCGCTAGTTGGCGCTAAGAGCGCGTAGTTCTAGATTTATTCGTCGCATCGGGTCATGCTATGCATTTTTGGAAAGGTCATCTCACGCGCTAACACGTGTTTGATTGATTGTCGTTTCTTTTAAGTCGCCGCAAACATGGAGCAAAATAAAGAGAAAATACGGCATATTTTACAGTACTACTACGATAAAGGCAGAAATGCATCTCAAGCCGCCAATAAAATTTGTGCAGTTTATGGACCCGATACAGTTTCCATTTCCACCGTACAACGATGGTTTCAACGTTTACGTTCTGGTGTAGAGGTGGTCGAAGATGCGCCACACTCCGGAAGGCCTGTCGTCGAAAATTGCAATAAAATCGCTGAATTGGTCGAAAAAGACCGGCATAGTGGCAGCCGTAGCATTGGTCAAGAGCTGGTCATGAGTCATCAAAAAAAATTTTATGAACAATTGAAAATTCAATAAAAAAAATACCGCAAGACTTTTTTGACAAAGTAATACAACCGAAAATAAAGATAAAAAATGCAAACATAAAATAAAAAAATATGTATTATTAAACATAATAATTAAAAAAATAGTTTTCAAACATTCCAAAAAATCAAATAACAAAAAAAAAATTTCAAACATTTCCCAGCTGTATTCCAAAATCGAAATTAATTTTTTAAGCTGCCAACAATCACGCATCCGTGAAACCGCACGTTTCTTTCACTGCGAATGATGGACGAAAATTTAACGGAAACTAGTGCAAGTCGAACTTTCGTAAAGAATTCATATGTGAAATCGCAAAATATTGGAAGCCGTTCCAAATTGTGTCTACAATTACGTTGTTGTATTTATGTTGGTGTAATTTTATTATTTTACACCAATTTTCTATGGTTTGATGGTGGCTGGCGTGGACGTGAGGAGAAAGGTGAGTTAGAATTTGTGTATTCAGGTGTACACGAGAGTTATCGAATTTAACATAATATTCTAAGGTCGAAAAAATATCGAACTTCGCGAAACTTTCGGTATCGAATTTTCGTAGTTACCAGATACATATAGTAATTATAGTACATTAATTATATAATAATTAATCCTTAATTATATTGTAAACAATTCATTGATCTTCTAGATATTCTTGACGGGTACTATTCCCTAATTTTTTTCGCAAACAAGTGTGATATGAAAAAATAACGTAATTTTATGGACATACGATTTGTTTACAAAATACACACAGGCTTATTACAAAAATAAAACTCTCAACTATCAAAACATTTACTCTGTACACAGCTCATTTATAGATAGATGTTGAGTGGTATTGGCTGACGTTTTTCATAAACAGCTGATTTTGACAACCTATTACAAGCATAAGTTAATCGCAAAATGTATCATTTTTGTTTAAAACTTTCATTGTGTAAACCATTTAAACACCTTTACTGTCTTCAAAGTTTATCGATATACATAGGTAAACGGCTGATTTTGACAGCCTTACAACAGACAAAAGATCTGCCAGCCTTGGGGTGCGCGCAGAGTAGACGCTGAAAGCCGAGGCGAGCGCATTTTCCCATTTAAGCAACAAGCGCATTTACGCTCGGCTCAGTTTTGAGCGTCCACTTTGCGGGTACCCTTACAACAGACAAAAATAATGCCGAATTTGTATTGCTTTAGAAATTAAGTTTTAGTTCGAGACACTGACATTTATTCCATCATAAACAGCTGATTTTGATTTTCACAGATGTTGTAACAGTTAGTTCGAATGTATGAAGCTGTCAACTAGTTGTTGAAGTAACTGAAAACATTTCTATCAGAATTATAACCTGTTAATTCATTAAATTCAGAAAGGTGGTGCAGTCAGTACAAGCAACGCTACTTAAGCATTTACAATTCTATCATCGAATATGCATTACCAGAAAAAATATTAAATATCTGTTGAATATATAATTTTAATCGCACACAAATGGATTTAACTGTATAACGCATATATCCGTTAAACTCAAAATGATGCAAATGCTAGAAAAGTTTAAATATAATTTCAAAGAGCTTTTAAACTTCATCCCAACAAATTTCAAAGTGTTTGAAGAGCTTAAACTAAGCTCAAAGCACACTCACACCACTTTTGAACATATACTAACGGGTATCAATATTAAAATAGTCACCCCAACAGTGCCTCCCCAACAATCGCAGTCAACTAGACAACTACTCAGTATCGTGAGTACCAGCGCTATTGACTTAGAGCATTCACAAGAAGACGTGAGCATAACAGAAGTACATTACAACAATAGATATCAGTTAAAGCACAAAAAACTTGATGAGCGTAAGCCAACAACAACAGAGGAAGTAAGAGCAAACCCCGCATATAACGATTCCCGCGCGAACTCACTGTGGAACACGGACAGCGCAGTCACAGTTAGAGAGAATTGCACCGCGCCGGCGATCTTGGAATTTCCCACAGACGGACTGACGCGCACAGAACGCCAACACGGCTGGATTACAGTGCATATTTTATTGGCGCTCTACTGCTTTTGGCTGTTGGCGGTAATCTGTGATGATTACTTTTTGCCCGCCATTGAGTTAATATGCCAAGGTGAGTTAAAGCCGCTGTACTAAAGAAAACGTTAAATAAAATTATATGTTTTCTCTTAACAGCGCTACAGATGCGTGCCGATGTGGTCGGCGCGACTTTTATGGCAGTCGCCACTTCAAGTCCGGAACTCTTTATGAATTGCGTTGGTACATTCGTGACAAAGGGTGACATCGGCATTGGCACAATTGTGGGCTCGTCCGTATTTAATTTACTGGCTGTACCGGCGTGTTGTGGTCTTTTTGTGGGCCAATGTGTATGTTTGGACTGGTGGCCGGTGAGTCGAGATTGTCTGATGTATTGTCTGGCTGTCATCGCGTTGATCTGCACACTCTGGGACGGCAAGGTGATGTGGTACGAATCATTGATGCTTTTCTTGGTGTACTTCATCTATATGGCAGGTAAGTTTTGAACACAGAAATATAAGTTAGAGCTTTCATATGCTCAAGCTGCGAAGATTTAGAGCTTTGAGCTACTGAATTTAGCAACAGAACAGTACTAAGTTTCTATTTGTGGTGTCATAATAGTTGCGGCAACACATGAAGTTCCTTGAGCTCTTAATACCATCGTACCTATTAAACCACCGACGTAGCGCCTTAACTCTTCTGATAACAGAGTCAAACTAAATTTATGTTCTTTTAACTCTCTCTTTCTCTCTCAGTGATGTATTACAACGATAATTTCGCACGCTCAGCACGTCGTCTGATCTCTCGTTATCGCCGTAAACTGCGTTTGGTGTTTTCTTTTCGTGAAGTTAGTGAGCTAACGCCACTTATTAGACGTCAGCAAACCTTCAGCGGCATTACCAATTACACATTAGGAACGTCTTTTAATAGCATTAATGACTGTGCTTCAAGCAATAATCTGACAACATTTTATATACCAGATTCGTCTCAGCAACTCTATCCTAGTTTGGAGTATATCGAAAGTTGTCGCACGTCTATGACACAAAATGATAGTTGCAGCTGGACGTTAGACTCCGAACCAAACTTCGTTAATGAAACTGGTGAGAGGCATACACATTTTCTGAAACAATTGTGTAAACTCTTTTAAACAATCTCTCACACCTTAACTATCTCTCTTCATTGTAGACCATAACGCCACAGATTTCGCTGATCTACCTTGGCAACGCGGTGATGCTTCGTGGCTGTGTTTCATAATACGTTGGCCCATCACGTTTTTGTTGTACATAACGGTACCCGATAGTCGCAGACATACGCAAGCCAAATATATAACATTTGCGGCATCGATTATATGGATTGCTGTAATCTCATATGTGGTGGCCTATGCGATAACCGTAATAGGTGAGTTGTGGCATTACTTTTATATTTAGTAGTTGTTCTACTTTTTTAATTTGTAGTTCCAAAACTATGATAAGCTTAAAATAATACCGGCAGTTATCTAAAAAACCGCTACAAACTGCCTGCTTCTAGTTTTATTTATGTTTGCTGTTGGCAACTCAATTAAGTTCTCGTGATTAAGCAGAAATTGAATTTATTTTTAGCAACGAAAACAATAACATGTTTCAAATATCATAAATTGCATACCAAATCGGGTCAAAAATTGCCGAAACAGTCAAACTAATTTTATACATTAAGATTATAATGAGAAAGCAGTTTTTGCCTGTCGCTCAGTCGTCTACTCGATTAAATATGGAATCGGTTAACGATCAGCTGCCATATTCTAACGATTAAAATCCGTTGGCGGTTTGCTATTTTATCTAAGCACACAACCAAATTTACAGTGTGGACAAAAACCCAAACTGCATTATAGTTTTAACTCAATTTCAATTCGATTAAGAATTAATGGAGTATAATGAGATTTTTACTTTGTATGGTAGATCGAGGGCAATTAGAGCTTGTTCAATTAATTGTTTTGCGAAAAGGCTATTAATTTACTTTCCACCCCATTTTCCGTGATTAAATTTGATTATCCCTTTTTTCTTCGCATTTCCTCACGTGAGATTTCATTGCCTCGCTTTTTTTTAACCAGTTTGATCCAGTAACTGTTTTAAATGTTAATTCTACCCAAAATTGGGTATAATAAGTTTGCCAAAATTTTTTTCAGACGCAGAAGGAAACGCAGAAGACTCTGTAGGTCTGTATATACGCGAATTACCTCCTCAGTGCTTAAGGTAGCGATCCTTTGTATGAAAAACGCTTTTATTAGACGAGATATGACATGGACCAGTGTCCGAAATAAAGCCACAATCTCCAAAAAGTTTGCTTAGACCAGACCAGACCAGTATAGTATATAGCAGCCTTTGTATTATAATATAGATGCAACCGGAATAAACGACGTTTCTTGTTTTAAGTTAAATCCTTACTCTCTCTCTCTCTCTCTCTTTGACCCAAAATCATCCCTGCATTGAAGCTCCTCACACTAAATAAATCTCGCGCTCTTTCTTTACTTTCTTTACAGGCGATACGCTCAACATACCCGACTCTGTTATGGGCCTCACAATACTCTCCGCCGGCATGAGTGTACCGGAAGCTGTCTCCAGCATTATTGTCACCAAACAGGGACTTGGCGCTATGGGCATCAGTAATGCAATCGGATCGAATACCTTCGACATTTTACTCTGTCTCAGTGTGCCTTGGTTTATCAAAGCATATTTTCTACCCAACCACCCGGATGAAATGTGGGTTGCGCCCAATTCGAATGGACTCACATATTCAGTCAGCTTTCTGCTTGCGTCTGTTATTTGTCTCTTTCTAACATTACTGTTGAATCGTTTTAAATTGGATCGCAAAGTGGGTTTAATATGCGCCGTTTTATATGTCTGTTTCATTGTTTGTGCGGCACTCATCGAACTAAATGTATTCTTTCCGGTTAATCTACCTGTATGTGAGCACTGAGAGCAAACGAGTGAGGGTGATGGTCGAGTTGCACGATCTAAAGATATTATTGCATGAACTTTAGATTTTGTACAATTATTGTTATTAATATTTAGCCAACCATAAATGATAATAATTAACAGCAATAAAAAAGCTGGTTTTATTTAAGGCTGCTTTCAGCAAGTGTGTGGGTCGATCCCTTGATTGTTACTATCCGAAGTGAGATCGGAACTGTTGTCAAAAGCATAATAAATATTTTTATTTTTAATATGGTACTTTTCTTTCTAACCTTATCTCGATTATTATGATATTTGCTTATTTCTTCGCGATATCATCGTCTGGTATGTCACTCTCTCCTTTTCTTTTTAAACGATTATTGGTTTGTTGTTAGGTAATGAAAATGCAATAACGCTGAGTTGCTATATTTTTACTCTATATTATTGCGCTTATTACTTTTAAAATTCCACAACATCGAATCAAGTAGAACCAATCAGTTAGAACTGGAATATTTTATTGTTTCGATAATCGGCGGTATTTTACACCCCCTCTTTGAAATTCGAACGAAGCAAGGTGAAGGTCACATATTCATTTTATCAAATAATAGCACTTCAGATTGCAAAGAAATGGAGATTGAGACCGTAGAAACCGATTCACTTAATTCTCCAATCTCTGTGCCTAATTATGAGGCGAAATATTGAAATATGAGCATATCCGTAATCTAACTACTATGGTCACAAAACTCACTATAGGTAATCTCAAAATTTCTAGTGGAATGACCTTCCGATATACAGCATACATTTTCAAACTAACGGTTCATTCTCAGTAATATAAAAATCCAGTATTCGAGCGTACATCTTAGACGAAGCAAAGGAAAACCCTCTTCTTTTACGATCATGTGACCTCTCTGGTATTTGTCTCGACTCCATTACAACTGGATATCATATTACCTAATAGAAGTATCAAGCAAATAGGTTCAGGGTATAGCCAATTCATCTTAAATTAAGCAAAGAAAATCTTGACATTTCGACGATCACAAGGTCTCTCTACTATTTGATTCGATTTCTTTAGAAGAAGATACCAGATTACCGACGAGCAGTACCAATCACGAAGAATGCAGTTTCGCGGAAATTAGATAGATCTTAGATCAAATAAAGAAGAAATACTCTTCGACGATCACAAGGTCTCTCTACTCTTTACTTCGAGTCCTTACAACTACATGCCGATAACCAGTGACCAGTACCGCCCTAGTAAGGCTAAACTATAATACAAGTTGAGTACATTTTAAAAGGAAATGAATCAGCAAAATCAACGAGACGTTTCGTCACTCGAAATGCCATTGGAGTATGAAGTGCGTTAAGAGCAGAGATTAAGTAGTTTTTACTATTTTATAGATTACAACATTTTAGAAGTGTTTAGATAGTAACTTTGTAAACATCGTTTGCTTCTCGCACTTTTTTTTTAGATTGCCGTCTTATATTTTTAACTGCCAGTTTTATTGATTTTTCGCATTCTCACGCCTATTTAGCATTCGGTCAAGCGTTTTTAACAACTGTGACAAATCAAATTAATCAATTTACAGCTGCTCGAAGATAATAAAGTGCGAATTACTTTTGCAAATAACTACTAAACGTTGTAATTATAATAAAATAACACAGGGGTGTGTCAGTGTGAGATTGACTTTGTGGATACAAGCCGAAAAAAGCGATCGCGCAATATTTAACCAGCTCACCAGAACTTTAACAGGCGCCCTCAGTGACTAAGGCGCTCAAGTGTCCCGAGTGGACTAAGTCAAGGCCGGGTTTTGTCGGCTTTATATAATTTTCGATGTTACTCAAATAGACGCTTGAAATATAATAGCGGCCATCTTTTATTTATTATCCTTCTATTGCTTACAGACCATAAAGATAGACCTATTTGCAAGACTTAGTTGGTATCTGAAATGGCAAATATTGTCCATTTCCTTTCAAAATTGCCGCTGTGGTTAGCTTATGTAAAGAAAACATTTTTTAGAGTCGGAAGCTGTCTCATAAAGCTCTTTGGTTTGGGAGAACTAAGGGAAACTCAATATATCGCCTTTTTACTCGGAGCACGGCTGAGTTTCAATACATAACTTTTCAGGTTATAATGTTGTGGAGTTAGTTTCGTGAGTTTCTGATCGATTTCGCCTTTGTATGTGTATACCGACTATTTCAATTTCGATTTCATACGTTTTACTCAATTATTTACTGGGTTTAGCGGAAAGCATGAAAATATTCATTAAATTTCTTAATTTTAATTTTATAAAAAAAAAACGGTTAAACCTGCTCAAAAAAGTTTTGACGCACGACACGTGAAGCTTATACAAAATATCATACATAACTGTTTTTTTCTTGCTTGCCTATTTATTTTATGAATGAAAATTTTGCTAATGACAATATTTTAATACCGCAACCAAATAGATATTCTAAGTTTCATAACTAACACTTTTTACACTTCATTAAGTATTTCCCGTGCTTAGAGATAATGGCTTATGTGACGACGTCATATACTTCGACGAAGAGTATAATGACTTCTATTGTCATTTGCCTTTTTAATATAACAGGATATTAGTTTACGTCATGATTTCTCGAGATTTGAGCGTGTAAGGTGTTTTTCGTAGTCTATTGAACATAACCTCAAAAGTAGAGATGTACGTTTGTTGTTCAGAGAGGAAGCTGCCTAACTAGTTTAGGGAGCCACCAAGGAAAATTGAAATCTTACACACAATTTTTGAACTATTAGAAAGACGACCGACGTCCGATCTTATTAAAAACCTACGGAGAGCTCTTGTCGGCTCACAGAAAATGCTTAAAGAGTCTTGTGTAATAAATATTTAAATTTTTAGGTTTTAACCTAGATTTAGTTTATTACCTTGAAGGATATTGAATGTGATTGTAGACCTTGTACTGACAATTTTGTAGAGTCTCCGTTAGTCGAGAGTCAACCTGAAGAGTCTAATGTATTCCAGATTGCTACGAATACCTTATAAGAGCAAAAAAAATTCTTTTCAGCTCTCCTGTATGCAGAGTGAGACCGTCTTATACGTCGTAGGTAAGGTAAAGCTTCTTTAGATTAAATTTTCGAGAAATGGTTTGTCTTGGAACTAATGCTGTACATTTTCTAAACAAGCGAAGTAGTCTCCCAGTTTTTGTGGTATACAAATACATGAAATGTTGCAGACGTTCTTTCCTGCCCAGAATCCGCAGAAATCGGATCACCTTAGGATGTAACTGTTATATATAATTATCCATATAATCCAGACCTGGTATGAAAAACTTTTTTATTTGACGAGATATCTGCACGAAATTTGACATAGATTATTATACAAACACAACACCACAATATACCAACAAATTGTTCCAATCGGACCAATATAGCACATAGCTGCCATACAAACTGACCAATCCAATTCAAGCTCTTGTATGGAAACTTTTTTATAATGCAAACTGATCGATCAAAATCAATATAAAGCTCATTTTATATCCTTTTATGTTATTGCCAACAAGTATTAGTTTCTAGCCTTACTCCCTAACCTAACCTAAGCTCAAAACATAATACTCAAAATGTTACTCATTTAACTCTCTGAGTCAGTCAATATCAAAAAATAACTATTTTTTTCACTGCCGGAGTGCGTTTAGAATCAGATTTTGATAAAATATTTAAAATGAGTTTAAATCACTTTGTTAGTCAAAGTTTATCAGGTGTAATGATTGAGCGAACTTAAGCAGCGCGATTTTACTCAAAAGTGTCATAGTCATACTCATTACTATCTACGTAATAAACTATGCATTCATATATACACACACATACATAAGTGTATGAATATCTCACAGAATTTAATATAGCGGTAATGATAGCAACAACAASAATAGCAACAATAAGAAAGCAGCAACTTCAATACCGCCATAACCCTTTTAGTGAAGTGTTTATGAGAGCAAATAAAATTACAACAAAAAACACACACCCACAACAACAACAACAGCAATAATAATAAGTTAGCTACAATATCAACATTAAGCAGCGCACTTCAATCGGACAATGCTAGAGATAAATTTTTGCAAGACCCACACCCAAACACATGCAAAGCTTTGAGTATAAAATTGAATTAAAAAACAACCCACAACAACAGCAATAATAATAACAACCATAATGAAATGCAGTGAAAACAATCAGTACTTGAAATTGCTGAATATTTGTTTGACAAAACGTCTTTTAAAGACGGCAACACCGCGCATACATTTAATTAGTTGAACGCCATAATTGTAGCCGTGCGGATGAGTTGCGCCCCATATGTGTGCCTAAGTACCGTCAAAACGAAATCATACCACATTTAACGGGCCAAACAGCGCGCTATTAGAATAAACGCATTTTTGAAAAAAGTAAAGAAAGGAAAGCAAAAGCAACGTTGGAAAAGTGCTTTGATTTGGCGAAAGTCGAGCACTGGCGCGTTGCTTGCTAGCGCCGCGATTTATGAGTGGAATCGAAAAATAAAGTATTAATTTAACTATTTTCGAAAATGTCGGCTTTTTGCTAAAGGCTAACTCGTGTGCGCGGTTTGAAACATTAAAGGCGGTATATTAAAAAATATATAAATATTTGCGTGAAGTGGTGGGAGAAGTGAAGGTAATTGCAGTAGGTTATATAATTGACAAAAAAATCATAACAGTAAAACAAAATCTCCAAAAATCATAAAAATAACAAACATTTAGAACTGTAGAAAGGAAATAATTACAAAAAAAGTATTCATAAAAAACAACAAAAAATAATAATTTAAAAAAAACCAACAAAAAGTCTGAACTCGAAAAAAAATTTTTTACGTACAAAGATAAATAAAAAATAAGATTTCCTAAAATATTAAAAAATAAAATCTGAACAAAAAAAATAATTTTAAAATTTACAAAATTTAATAAACAAACATGTTTCAAAAATTCAAATTAAAATTTCATATTAAAAAATATCATAAGTTCACATGGTGAATATAAAATTAATTATTTTTCTACAAAACATATTTATAAACAAATTCTTCTGAAATTCTTTAATAAAAACAGCAAAAACTATTCAAAGAAATGTAGACTTTGGGCTAAGAAGTTTAAAAAAATATTGATTTCTAAATATTTTATATATACAAAGAAGTA